TATATATGTAAACATAAACATATATATATATATATGTATATGTATATATGTAAACATAAACATATATATATATATATATATAGAATATCTAAATACAGGGAAGGAGGAAGTTGACCAAGACATGCTCAAATGTTATTGGAGCACATAACAAAAAGGGGCGTGGCTTAAGATGGGTCAATTGTTTAGTCTACCAAATGTTAAAAAATAGTTAGAAATGGCACCTGAGCCAAAAGTGACGCATTTAAAATTACCTGTTTTGTTCAACTAACAGTTTAACGCCCAAATATATTCAATTTACATGAGATGAAAAAGAGAAAAACAGCAAATCCTCACTTTTTAAAACAGAATTTTTGCTTGATTATCAGAACTGTTTTCAATTAATTTTCTGTATATCGACTTGTTAATTAATTAACTAGTTTCAGCGCTAATTCTAGATATATTTTTTTTTTTTTTGGCCATAAACCCCCAAAATTAAAACTAGCTGTTCACTCTCTTCTTTTTGAGAGCGTCTGTGTTGAAGTAATGGCCACCACACATCCAGAGTGCCTGATATGATATCAAGAATATTGTTGTTGATTGGACTTTAAAAGCAAGATTCAACAGATCAATAGGAAGCTCTTTGGCTGCAATCCACATCGACCTCTTCTTTTCTCTTTTCTTTTCTCTGTCCCGTCAATTCTTTTTATTCCCCTCCTCCTCCTCCTCCTCTCCTGTATTATCGATAGCAAAGCCTCAGATGTAACCTGTCCCATATTCTCAGTGGTGCTAAACATAGCCCTGTGGTCAGTCTGCTGTCACCATCCTGATGTAGCAGGAGCCACTGAGGCCAGAGATAAATGAGTCAAGGATGGAGATATTTTGGACTCATCTCTAGCCACTTAACTTGTCTGTGTAAAGAGGTTTTGTAAAACAGATAAAAGTTTAATGCATTGTGATCTCCTCCCTGGCTGGAAAACAAATCTGTTGCTGCAAGGCTGCATTATGTAACTCCGTCAGCGCTTTCTCAGTGAGATTTGTGACAGATGATACTTCAGTGTAGTTACATTTTTAATTAATATACTGTTCTCACGTATGTGCTCAGATCAGGACAGTGAGCATCATATGCATCATTTCCTCTCATATCATTACAATTTCTATGCTTTCTGTTTAACACAAGATGGATAAACAAGCGCAGGTTGTTGATAAACAAGCGCAGGTTGTTGTAATGTGCGCTGTGTCTCACCAGGTGGTGCTGTGCAAGTCCCTGAGGGACACCAGCAGCAGACTGGCAGAGCTCGGCTGGCTCCACAACAAAGTCAGGAAGTACACCGATGCCAGGAGCCTCGATCGGGCCTTTGGACTGGTCGGACAGGTGTGTCCCATATGTATTAATTATCACTGAGGATCTACCCGCTCCTTTTTGTATCTAATCCTCCTCAAACACCTTCTCTCTCTCTTGTCCTCCTCTTTAGAGCTTCTGTGCCGCGCTCCATCAGGAGCTGAAGGAGTACTACAGGCTGCTGTCCGTCCTCCACTCACAGGTACGCAGAGCAAACAGGTTAACGCCCACAGAGACAAGGGACGTTCAGAATTTCTTGGACTAGAAAAGATGGTGGATAATCAAGTATATAACTAAAGAACCCTTCATGTGTTGTGATGCAGTCATATCAAATGAAATGGTTTCCATACGATCAATCAACGATAAATACCCACTGGGATCATTTCCTGCTCTGCTTCTGATCGTTGGTCCTTTTTGATCTGTGTGTGTGTGTGTGTGTGTCATAGTTGCAGGTGGAGGATGAGCAGGGTGTGAACGTGTGCACAGAGAGCAGTCTGACTCTCAGGAGGCTCCTGGTCTGGATGTACGACCCCAAAGTCCGACTCAAAACGCTGGCCGCCCTTGTCGACTTCTGCCAAGGTGGGCTGAATGTTTGTGTGTGTGTGTGCGCTGTATTTGGTTTTGGAAAGGTGGGTCAACCACCAGGGGTTTAATGTAGTGTTGGGTGAATTGGACATCCCTTCAGCATTCGTTTCATCATGCCTGCCTGTGTGTGTGTGTGGGCGCGCGTGCGTTCAGGTCGGAAAGGAGGCGAGCTGGCCTCTGCTGTCCACTCTTACGGGAAAACGGGAGACCCGCACATGAGAGCGCTGGTTCAACACATCCTCAGCCTGGTGTCACACCCCATCCTCAACTTCCTGTACAGGTGGATCTATGACGGAGAGCTAGAAGATACCTACCATGAGGTACACACACACACACACACACACACACACAGTGGCATTAAATATTAAATATGGTAATATAGTGAGTGAAGTTTAATAATTGAGAGTCTTCCCAGAGCTCTAGCAGGAATTTACCGCTCATTTCTGGAACATTGTTACGTCTAACTCCTCTGACGTTTGACCCCAATGAGAAAGAACATTAATGAGAGGAGGAGGGAGAGAAATAAAGAAAGAGAGGCAGGACAGCTCCTTAAATGAGGACTGATGAGAGGAGTGTAATGGAGAGCCCGTTGATGGATGTTTCTCCTTTACTTCTCCCTGCTCTCTCTTTCTGTTTCTCCCTCTCACAGTATTTATGTGTCCAGCATTAACCGTTAGTCATCGCCGGACTCTGGTCTTAAGTGCTGTGTTTAAGAACACAGAGACAAAGTTATTGCATCTTTCAGGAGGGAAATTACCCTCAGACACTCACTCACACACACACACACACACACACACACACACTAAACAACACCTAGAGTTAAGCATTAAAAAAGCTTGTAATGTAATTATTTATATATGAGGAAAATACATTTTCTTCACTGGAGCACATTTGACAGCTGTGTTTCCCATCAACATATTTAATGTATCACATTAGAAAAAGGCTGATGGATTTTGCTAAAACTTTTTTATGCTCATTTGAGGTTTTTGTTTTGTTTTTGGTTAATGCGCAGAATGGGAGATGGAAACACTTTTTCCAAATAAGCTGTGACGTAGCAAACATTTGACTCACCTGATGAGCTGCTAACGCTCCGACAGTCACCGCTCGCCCTTGGCTTTATAATGCATCTATGATCGCTCCACACAGATCGGGTGGACCCTTCCTCACATCAATTCCTGAAACAAACAGATGAGATCATATTTTCATCCTGTTTTCTGCATCGTTTTT